ATGGACAAGCCTTTGACCAATTGGCAAGATAACAGCTACCTTTCCCTAAGTCCTGATCTCTTGGGTCTGCAATTAAGGATTGCAGAGATTTTGCGGAAGACATATGGAAGCAGGAGTCAGGCTCTGTGGTGCTTAAGCTTAACTGTGTCAGTTTGATTGGCTTGGGAGCCACCTAGGGGATTAGTAAAGCACACTTCCAATTATGTCTGAGTAGGGCATGGAGGTGTGACCTTGGGTACTATGCTGTATATAGCCTTCTTCTCTGGCCCTGTTCCCTACTCTGCTACCTGCTTACCATGAACTAAGGATCTTTGCTCTGCCATGCCCTTCAGGTATGGTGTTTCTGCCTTGGAACTGGTTGACCATGGACTGAATGCCCTGAAACTGTGAACCAAATTAAACCTCTCCCCCTTTAAGTTGTGGGTTTTGGATATTGGGTCCCAGCAATGACAAAGCTAACTAATACAGCCTAGGAGACATTTTTATAATAGATAAGAAGCCTATGGTGAGCATTTCATAAGCCAGTTTATCTGATTTCACTTCACTCTTTTCATTTCTCTGTATTCTTCTGGCATCTAGCAAAGTTATATTTTAGTCAGCCCAGCTGATTTCAATCATATACAACAGAGGAAAGACTACCTGTTCACACTTGGGCCACAGTGTTGAGGGACCAGTGTTCCCTACCGTACTCCAAGGAATGGGTATTATTTATCTTTATATTTATGTCCAGCACACAATAGGGGCTCAATAAATTTCTGTGTGAATATATGCACAATAAGTTAAATAGTAGATGAATGGGTGGATATTCATTTTATTTGTACCATGCCTCCTTTTACAACATGTTGTAGGAAGCTTGCAGTTAAAATAAATACAATTATAATAAAATATCAATTGAAACACAAAAATAATTTTCTAGGAAAACAACCAAAATTTCCTAAGAAAAAGCTAAAACCTAAATAGACTAATAATCTTAAGAAAAATTAAAATGATAGTCAAAGGTTTCTGACTAAGAAATTGACCAGCCTCAGACAATTTATACTTAAGTTCCACAAAAGCTATAAATAGTTTTCCAGAAGAGAATAAGCCATCTTTAATTATATATTATCATTGCCCTTATACCACAAAAGGACAGCATAACAAATTAAATTAAGAGGGTTTCACTTATGATGAAAAAAGTCCTCAATAAAATATTAGCAAATAGAATCCTGCTGTCTGCTAAAAAGGATAATATTCCATAGTCAGACAGGGCTTATCACAGGAATACAAGATGACTCAACTTTTAAAAATATATCCAATGTAGCCTATTACAATAATAATTAGAGTTAAAAATCATTAATTTTATATAAAAACTCTTACTAGAATTAGTTATGTTCCTAACTTATAGACAACGTATCAGAAAACTACAAAAAACACTGAATTTGTGGTGAACTGTGAGAAACATTAGGTAATGTCATTAACCAAAGCAGTGGCTATGGGACAAAGAGCAGGATGAGGAGGGAGATAGAGATTTGGGAGGAACTAGAGGCCATTGAAGAGACTCTGAGGGTGGTCTGTAGGCAAGAGTGGAAGGCATGGAATGAGTTGAGGCCAATTAAGGTGAGAAGTGAACCAAGAGTAGAGCACAGGAATAGCAAATTAAGGGGGCCATGACACTTAGAAGGGAGCAGGCAGAGGAACAAGAAAAGAATAAAGAGCAGCCCACGAGGAAGCAGCAGTGAGGAGGAGTGTGTTATGACAGAGTCAAGGAAAAGAGAGCAAGGACTGCAGTCACTGGGTGGACTAATTAGAGGCTGCTGTTGACCTTAGGTAAAGCTGTGGTGAGAGCTAAAGCTGCATGTATGGGCCTTCAATAGGAGAAGAGGAAGTAAATGCAGCCAAAGAGCCCTTCTGCCACTATGTGTGTAGGCACCTTAAGAAGGAGTGAAGTTCAGAGGAAGCTTATTAGGTTCATTTGTGTAAGGCCAAAGGGAAGCAACCAGTGGAGAGCAAAGAGACTAAAGATACTTCAGAAAGGGGATGACGGATGGAGCCAGCTGCTGCTGCGGCCGGAGGAAGAGGTGTTCTTAAAAACCACCCCGTGTTTTACCATTGGTAAAAACCAAGATCATCTATGATGTCACCCATTCATCAACTCAAGAAGTATTTACTAAATAGCTAACATGTGCCAGACACTGTTCTGGGGCTGGAAGTAAAACAGAAAAAAATCTTTCTCTATACTATATAATTTTATACAAATTCAGTCAATTAAAACAAAAATGAAACTAAATCCCAAGACAAAAGTTTGCCCTATCATGCTGGGGCTGAAGGAGACATGTTTCTGGCAGAAGTACACGTGACTACAAGGCTTGGAGGCCTGCAGATGGGTCTGCTCCTTCTCAGAGGCAATGCATATACATAGTGGCAGCTATGACCTGAAATTCAAATACATACATCCTTTAGGACTAAGTTAAAGTGTATTTCAGTGACAAATTTTAACTGTAAGTGATTAGAGGAAATCTCCGGCAGACTCCTGGGCTTGATGTATTCAAAGCTTTAATAAGGACAAATGACAACAGGCAAATGGCAATGGCAAGTGCACCTCAGTCAATAAACCTGATATCCAAACCTTCAATTATCTGCACAGCAATTCACTGCTTCTTTTTTTGCACCCCATCTCTCAACTAATTCCACTGAGATACAGCTAAGCAGGCTTACATCCATCAGTTCATGCTTAGTGGTAGCCTCCATCAATGTCCTAAAGAGTCATTAACTAAATCACGGGTTTTACTGGTTTTGAAAGAGGAAAGTAGAGAAGGTGTATCCTAACTTGCACTCCGAAACACTACTTTTAGGGAGAGATTGTCATAAAACCCAGGGCTACATTACATGTTATGTAGTTGTGGTGTACGTCAAGGGTTTGAACTAGCAAGGAGATGGCAAATTAACGAGTAGAGAACCTGAAAAAGTTTGAACAGAAAGGGCCTCTGAAGCCATTGAGTGGAAACTTCTTATTTGACAAGATAAAAATAATTCATCACAAGGTCAGTTGATGGATGCCCCACTTAGAACTCAGGTGTCCTGCAACCCCATCTAGCATTTTTCCATTATGTCACATTACCATATTCCCTACTGAATCAAACTTTCAAATAAATGATTTTCCCAGTGAAAAATTGTTTATCATTGTGGAAACTATCCCATGGGGAATGGATAAATGAGCGCTGGTACCAAAATTTGACAGATTTGAACATCAGACTGTAAATTTCTAACAGATGGGTCCAACCTGCAGCCCACAATTTTTTTCTTTTGGCTTTCTTTGTAAATACAATGATAAGACAAGCATGGTTGCACTCACCTGTAATCTCAGCACTACTGAGGCTGAGGCAGGAGGATTGCTGAGAGTTCAAGGCCAGCCTGGACTACATACTGAGTTCAAGGCCAGCCTAAAGTAAATAGTGAGACCCTATTTCAAAAAAACAAAATCCCAAAACTATACTAAAGAATGTAAAAATAAAGAATATTTTGTTACTTATATATAGTAATTTATATACATAATAGGATATATTTTATATGTGGCTCAAGACAATTCCTTTTCAACCCCAGCCCACCCCAAAAAGGAAGAAAGCAAGCAGGCCACAGCTTGGACAAGGCTGCAAGTCATACCATAAGATAAAAAGTTCTACTAGCACAAACAATCAACAAGTGGGATCTCTTCTTATTAAAAAGCTTCTGCACAGCAAGAGAAACCATCAGCAGTGTGAAGAGACAACCCACAATGTGGGAAAATATCTTCACCTGCTTTTCCTCAGACAAAGGTCTACTGTCTCGAATCTATAAAGAACTTAAAAAGATCAGACCTCCCAAATTTAAAGATCCAATCCGAGAATGGGCATCTGAAAATAGCAAATAAACACATAAAAAAATGTTCAACATCACTGGTCATTCGAGAGATGCAAATGAAAACAACACTGAGATTCCAGATCACCCCAGAAAGAATGGCTGCTATCATGAAATCAACCAATAACAAATGCTGGTGGGGCTGTAGGGAAAGAGGAACCCTGCTCCACTGCTGGTAGGAGTGTAGACTGGTGCAAGCACTGTGGAAATCAGTATGGAGATACCTCAAAGAACTAGGACTGGAAGTCCCATTTGATCTTGCTATTCCACTGCTGGGGATCTTCCCCAAAGAATTAAAAGAATCATACCACAGTGATATATGTGCACCCATGTTCATAGCAGCACAGTTTGTAATAGCTAAAACTTAGAAGCAGCCCAAATCCCCATCAACTGGAGACTGGATAAAGAAAATGTGGGTTTTTTTTTTTTATAAAATGGAGTACTACTCAGCCATAAAAAATGAGAAATTAGAGACATTTGTAGCTAAGTGGATGCTCATTAAGGCGATACTCTTCAGTGAAATAAATAGGACACACATGTATAAATACCGAATAGTTTCTCTGGTGTGAGAAACTGAAAGTGTAAATAAGGACTAAAATGTATAATAGGTAATGTGAAATAGGAAGAAAAGGGGCAAAGGGGAAGGAAGTGGGAGGGCTAGGGGAAAGGATAGAAGGGAATGGGATTAATATGAGAAAATGGAAAAATAGGAACAAAATCTTTGTAAATAGGGAGGACTGGAGGGGTTGAAGGGAGGGCTGGGCAAGGGTGAAAAATAAGAACCAAGAGAGACTATGTAAAGGTGAAAATTTCCAATGATGAATGTCATTATATTGTATACCTAAAATGTACCAATGATTAGAATGAATAATCGATAATGCAAAATAGGAAGAAAAGGTCCAAAGGGGTAGGGGTAGTGGGAGGCACAGGGGAAAGGAAAGAAGGGAAAGGAAAAATGATGAGAAATGGAAAAAATGGAAATAAAGTCTTTGTAAATAGGGAAGGATGGAGGGCGTGAAGGGAGGGCTAGGAATGGGGAAAAAATAAGAACCAAGATGCATTATGTAAAGGTACAATTCCCAATGAGAAATGTAATTGTGTCGAATACCTAAAATGTACCAATAAAAGAATTTAACATTAAAAAAAAAGATAAAAAGTTCTAAAATGGAAAGCCACTTTTGTTGCTAACACTAGGGATTCTTCAGGGCCCTTGCTTTCCCCCCGACATGCACTTTTAAAAATAATCAACTTCATATTTTAGAGCAGTTTTAGATTCCCAGCATATCTGAGCAGAAGGCACTGATTTCCGGTACCTCACACGCTGTCCCGGTTCCGACCCTCTCCACCAGTGGGGCACTTGTGATGGCGGATGGCGGGCACTGACTGACACAGAACTACACGCAGTCCACAGGAGGGTTCGCTCTTGCTGCTGCATATTCTGTGGGTTTGGACAAACTTATGACAGGTAGCCATTACTATAGTACCATACGGAGTGGTTTCCCTGTCTGAAAAATCCTATTCTCTGCCTATTCACTCCTTCCTCTGCCCTAACTCTGGTGACATCTACTTTCAATCTCCCTACCATTTATTTTTACCCTACAACCCCTTCTACCATTACTGAAATACAAGTTAAATTCTGGACAGGAATCTGGTAATGAGAATAAAACATTATGATTTAAATTACAGCTTGGAGAATTTCTGCAGGTAATTACCCATGCCTCTTCTCACCAAGGCGGCGGGGGGGGGGGATTTCAATTAGAATATAAAGTAATTCTCCTTAAGACTGTGAGAAGGAAGAGACCAGTCCCGGGTATTGGGAGTGTATTTATTTCTGGGAAAAATCACCCGTCTAGAATGCATCAGACTGAGATGAAGTACACTGTGGGTATATTCAATTTAATTCTAAAGTCGAAGACAGAAAGAAGAAAGGGAAAATGAAGCAGAGTGAAAAATAAGGTGATGGAGAGAAAAAAAGGAATCTTGTTAACTACAGGACTCTGAGCAAGATATTTTTCTTCCCTTTACAAGTTAGAAGCTATTGAATAATTCATCCCAAGCATGGAAAGGCTGTCTCGTCCCTGAGTGATGTATAACAGAGCAGGAGAGAGCTTCGAGTGGGTTCACCACATCAGCCAGCACTCTCGCTTCTGAGTGCAGGGCGCTCTCCTCTGGAGCTCAGCTTCTGCAGCCAAGCATCCTTGCTGCTGTGCTGCCTGCCCACCCGCCTGGGCATGCAGCCTGCCACTTTACTTTCTCCAGCCCTGCTGCCAGCCGAATAGTCTCCTGCAGCTGCTGCTTCCTGCCTGGGACCATGTGTGTGGACGCGGCTTGGGAGAAGCGGGGCACTTGCTCCTGGCACAGATCCCAGCAGAGCTTCTCCTGTTGATTTCTGGACCACAGATGCTGCTGCTGAGGAGGTATTTCCTGGCATCCCTCCCTCTGCCATCATCAAAGGACCGGCCCCAAGACAAGGTACCCTCCACCCTCCCTCTGGCACCTCCCCCACTTGGGGTATCTCTGCTTTCTCCTGCTAATTAGGGGTTCCAGTTGGCATGTGGTGAGTGGTGTGTGTGCGCGCGTGCTGTTGTGTCTTGGGGAAGAAGAGACTGTTCTTGGCATTGCTCTGTCCCAGGGCTTCCCAGGTGCCTGCCGAAGGCAGAGGCCTTTCCCTGGTACTGGAGACATTTCCGAGGCAGGCACCTGTCATCTGCCGCCCCCGTCCTCCTGGAGCTCCCTCTCCCCCCCTCCCCCAGCCCAGTATTCTGCTTCAGCCTTTGTGTCGGTGGCAGAGGGCTGAAGGGACGTCTTTGCCTTCCCAGCTGTCAAGTGTCAGGATGGGCAGCGCTGCAAGAAGCCGACGCTAGGGCGCGAGGTGCGAAGAGTTGGCCAGAATGACCAACTCCTCCTCCACGTCCACCTCCTCCACCACCGGGGAATCGCTGCTGCTGCTCTGTGAGGAAGAGGAGTCGTGGGCGGGCCGGCGCATCCCCGTGTCCCTCCTGTACTCGGGCTTGGCCATCGGGGGCACACTGGCCAACGGCATGGTCATCTATCTCGTGTCGTCCTTCCGAAAGCTGCAGACCACCAGCAACGCCTTCATCGTGAACGGCTGCGCCGCCGACCTCAGTGTCTGCGCCCTGTGGATGCCTCAGGAGGCGGTGTTGGGGCTGCTGCCCGCGGGCTCCGCGGAGCCCCCCGGGGACTGGGACGGCGCCGGGGGCAGCTACCGCCTACTGCGGGGCGGGCTGCTGGGCCTCGGGCTCACAGTGTCCCTCCTGTCCCACTGCCTCGTGGCTCTGAACCGCTACCTGCTCATCACCAGGGCGCCCGCCACCTACCAGGTGCTGTACCAGCGGCGCCACACGGCCGGGATGCTGGCGCTGTCCTGGGCGCTGGCCCTGGGCCTCGTGCTGCTGCTCCCGCCCTGGGCGCCTCGGCCCGGCTCCGCGCCCCCGCAGGTGCACTACCCCGCGCTGCTGGCGGCCGCCGCGCTGCTGGCGCAGACCGCGCTGCTGCTGCACTGCTACCTGGGCATCGTGCGCCGCGTGCGCGTCAGCGTCAAGCGGGTCAGTGTGCTCAACTTCCACCTGCTGCACCAGCTGCCCGGCTGCGCCGCCGCCGCCGCCGCCTTCCCGGCCGCCCCGCACGCGCCTGGCCCCGGCCCCGCGCAGGCCCAGCCGCTGCCGCCTGTGCTCCAGCCCCGGCGCGCGCAGCGGCGGCTCAGCGGCCTCTCGGTGCTGCTGCTGTGCTGCGTGTTCCTGCTGGCCACGCAGCCGCTAGTATGGGTGAGCCTGGCCAGCGGCTTCTCGCTGCCCGTGCCCTGGGGCGTGCAGGCGGCCAGCTGGCTGCTGTGCTGCGCGCTGTCCGCGCTCAACCCGCTCCTCTACACGTGGAGGAACGAGGAATTCCGCCGCTCCGTGCGCTCCGTCCTGCCGGGCGTCGGCGACGCGGCTGCAGCCGCCGCCGCCGCCACAGCGGTGCCCGCCATGTCCCAGGCACAGCTGGGCACCCGCGCCGCCGGCCAGCACTGGTGACCCGGCCGCCGCCCGGGTGAGCGAAGCGAGGGCCTTCCGAGGTCGCGGGCCACCCTCGCCTCCTCCCCGTGTGAGGTACCCCCTGCCCTGGCGAAGACTTCCTCCGGGAACCCAGATACACCCGCGCGAAGATTTCGCCCTCGACTCCCTGGGGTACCTGAGTCAAGGTCTTGCCCTAAATTGGGTCCCGAAGTCGTTTGTGGACGGTCACCTGATTTTCACTTTTGTTTCTGTATTTTAGAGACATTGTTAAGTCAACACACTGGAGACAGCGAGGGCTTGCAAACTGGCATTTAGAAGGAACGGGCTAATTTATTTCAACATTGTTTTTGCAAAAGCTTTCATAACATATTACCTTTCCTACCTTCGTCGTCTTAAGCGCCTTGAGTGTGCATGAGCCAAAGGACATAATATTGAGGAAGGGATAATTGTAGGAGTATTAGAAAGGAGGGTATCTTTGATGATGCTTCATTCTGTTTAGTCTTTGTAGATCAGCCTGGAAGACTGAAGCCACAGACAACCTGCGCAGCGCCGGTATTAACTGCCATTAAGACCTCAAGTCCTTTATTTTTAAAAGGGTTTTTATAAAGTTAAGTCATTCTTCAATGAGATAGAATCATAGCCAGTGAAGAAAAAGCCCCCAAATTTATTATTTTACATTGTTTCCACTTCTGAGATTAATGTTAGCATTGAGCATTAAATGAAAAATTTCCAGTTTGTTAATTGATGGTCAGAGCCAGAACACAAACAAGGGGGTTCTCTATTTTAGGTACCAATTTCACATTTTCTATAGCATGCACACTTGTTGCTACCCTCCTTTTGTAACCAATTGATTTGCCTTATGAGTGTAATTGCAGCTTTGAACATTCTGTACTATAATGGTTGCTAAGGAGAATAAGTCCGTCTGTTTTCTCTTTCACATTTAAAATATCTCAATGCACATGATATAATTAAACACTACTAATACCATAACTGCATAGCTAACATTAGCTGCTATTGCATGTTCCTAGATGCTAGAACTTATTTGGCATGTGGATACTAAAGCAATACCTATTAGACAAGGACAGTTTACTTCTTCCAGACACCAGAAGAAATGACCTTCAATTATTTGGGCGGAGACACAGAGACACCTCTGGCTACCTAGAGTTCTGCATGTCTTGATCTAACTTTTGAAAAAAAGCTCCCAGTTGGGACTTTGTCTCACAAATGGAGCCATAGTCAAGATGGGTCAATAATATGGTTTGGCTCTGCAAAGTCATCCATGCTCTTTCATGGTTTAAACAAGCCACACATTAGAGAGAAAGTAACACTGTTTCTATGTAGTTCATATATATTACCATGACATTCAACATCGGTATCACATCTATTGAAGGAAGTATAACTCAGCTATATACAATGAACAGTTCAAATGAGACTCTGTTCTCAAATGTATTATTTGAGGTTTGTCATTTTCATGTTTAGTTTACAAATTTTATTTAGGAACATTTGAAATGCAAAATGTAAAAAGTACTTTATAAAACTAAAATGGGAAGAAAGTAATTTTAATAACAACATATTAGGCTGCTAATTACATCAAATATGGAGCAAAATAGCTTCAATTAATTGTGTATTACAGAAACAAAAAGAGCTTGCTTTGCTGCACTCTTGGACATTTTAAGCCAGGATATTAGGAGCACTTGTGCATTTGAATAATTATGGAAGTGACAGAAGACCTTGTCATGTTTGTAGTAAAACAAAATAAATATGTTCATTGCCAATAATAAATCAGCAGTCATTTTATTATCAATCCCCTTTATGCATGCACCATTTCTCTCTGAAAAAGGTTTCATCTATTCCCTTTTTCCTTGATTCAGATATTAAAGTTCAGACAACTATTCTTCTGAGTTTTTTTTTTTTCCTTCTGTCTCTGGTTTTCTTGTGTACCCTCTTGAGGACATTAGAACAGAAGACAATGGTATTCCAAAGTACAAATGAGGGAAGTAACTTCTTTTTCCTGGCTGTAATTTTCAGTTTCTACAAGTATTTCTACCTTATGTAATTAAATAAGCTTCCTATGCCAGCATTAAGAAGAAATAGGCATAATTTCTTTTCTGTAAGTATGGAAAATGGGCTTTAATAACAGAGTTGAAGATTTTCTATTTTGGAAGACTGGGGAAACTTCTAAATCTCTATCAAAAAAGTCTTTTAATTGGACCTTTGTCTTTGTTTCTTATTGTGAGGAAGTGTAAGCAGTTTTGCTCAGGGTTCTTGTAGACATTTGTGACTTTCAAAAACAGATTTTCTAGTGTATTTCTGGTCTCTTGAAATGTTGCTGGTTAGCACTAGAACCATCTTCTGCTGGCTCCATGCCATGTGGGAGACCTACTTTAGTTTAATTTGCTGGTAATTAACTCCACAGGACTGATTCACTTTTAATTTCAAAGTAGCAATGATGTATCTAAAACCGCCTTACTAGGGTACTAGCTAAGTGTTGGAGCTATTGCTTTGACAAATTAAGTTAATGGAGACTGTGTTCTTGTTTAAATGAAACCACATATTATCCACTCAGGAATAAAAAAAAATCCTAATTGCTATTGTGGGCTGCCCTATTTTGCTTTGTCTACTTTCTTCTTTAGGTGTATGGCTGTTAAAACATATAGGACTTGCCTTCCTTCCCCATGCATCATAATGAAAATTCTAGGATATAAAGGTGTTATTCCTAGCACGTCCTTTCTTCCCAAATGAAATATATGACTAAACAAGAATTCTGTTTTGTACAGAGGCATTCACAGGTCATCTTTCCTTACATACTGCAAGGAGAGTTCCAGGTCAGACAATTTTGTTTGTCTCAGAATTAGGGATAAAGGTTTCTGCCATGGGGGTATTGTTCTTTTTAGGAGGACCCAATGGGAGGATGGGTTGGAGCTGAGGAAGAGAAAAGAGCTTTACCCTAACCCACAGATAGAGCCAGTTCTTGAAAAGATCTCCACCTCGATGACATTGGTCTGCTTTGAGCTCATTGTGCTGTGCAACTGTTCTTCCCATGACAGCTGCGACGGCTAACTTCAGTGTTTCACATGTCACCTTCATTCTGTCTCCTGGGGATTCAGACAGTGGTCCCCTGGCACTTTCACAGTCCTGCCAGCTGACTTGACAAAGGGCATCAGTGATACTCATTTAGATTTAAGGACATTGAGAAAAAATTGTAGTGTCCCTTACTTTCAAGGCCTACTCTTAAGGTGTATGGGTTGCAGGGCGAGTGGAGCTCTAGACAAAGCTCTTGATCTATGGGAACAGAGGGGACCCTTTCTCTCCACTACTCTCCCTTTTACTATCTTGAGGGGCCTTGTGACTACGTGTGCCACTCCGCCAGCAAGTCTGTGCTCTGCTCTCACTGCTCTCCGGGGAGCTGCCTCACCATCTCTGGGACCAGTAGTGAGAGAGGCACAGGCTCCAGCTTGGCACATTTCCTAGGGACTCCTTTCCTTCTTGGGCAGAGCGGTCAGAGGAGAGTGGAAGTAAGCCCTTTAAAGTGTAAGACCCAAGTTGGGACTCCAGTTTCTCAAGAGGTGATGTTGCTTTCAATAGCACTGTACATAGCACCCTTTCCTAGTATGTTCCACCCGCAGGGACTCTAAACAGATGCTTCACATGATTTCCCTAGATACCTCCATTCAAAAGGAGAAGAGGATGCTGATAAGGGAGGAGGAAGAGTATGGATGAAACAAGAGGCTGCATTTTGGTGGTGGCTGAAGGGGACTGATGGCACATGGCGATGTACTGTACAATTCTCTCTACTGTTGTGTCTTTGAAATTTTTCATAATGAAAAATTGAAAAAGTAAAGTCCCCAAAGGAAGAAGAAAAGAGAGAGGAATGGAATAAAGAAAGGAAGTGAAAGAGTAAAGAAGAACCACAGGCTGTAATTACCACAACGTACGATAAAAGCAGAAGTTTTTCCTCAGGGGTGGAATTCTCTCCTCTGTGTGACTGTTCCCTGAGCCCCAAATCTATCTCTCCCTTACGCACTGACATCCTTTGCTGTAGTCTAGTCTGTGTGCACACCACCTTCCACATATGGCCCATGCTCCATGTCTGATACTTGGCCCATTCAAGGACTTCCTCGTGTGCCCTAGCTTTCCATAGCAGACCCAGCCTCCACCCTTCATCCCAAGGAGGCTCATTTACTTTCTACCCCTCACTAGAGCTCCCCACCCAGCCAGCTCTGCCTCCTCAGAATTCCTGCACCAGTCCCTTCTTACCATACATTCCTTTCTTGTGCTATCTCTTTCTTAATATGTGTATCTTGTCTTGAGGAATAGATTGGAAAGGTGGGATTTTTTAAGCTTGTTTTTCATATTTTAAAAAGGGAAAACAGTATCTTTTATCTTTTTGTAACCAGTTACTTGAAATATACTATATATTTAAGATCCACTTGCAGTTGATGATGGTAATTTTTAAAGAAAAAAGATTTGGCTCTTTCCCTTGCATGTTTGTTTTTCACCTAGTGAAACCAGATACAGGAATAAATCCTAGACCCCAAATCACTCCTTGCCAAAGGATATCCCTGAAAGTGGATATAGAATTGTGAACCAGGTGTATAAGTCACATGTAGTTTGAGGGTGATCTATACTCCTGTTATACCCAAGCTCTGTTCACACAAACTAAAGCAACAATGAGAAGTTTAAGTCCTAATTATTATTTTAATTTCCAGATTTATTTACTCAAAATGTGCAATTATTTCTCAGGTTCTTGCATTGAAAAGCTGTGCATTTCTGATTTGTACAAGTGTTAAACATTGCTAATCAGTACCAAAGAATTTTGCCAGAACCCCAGAGAAATAACTACCTTGTCCTTACCTTTCCTTGTCAGTTCCTTGAATGATAGACCTGGAAAAAACATTAGAGATCTTCCAGACTGATGCCTTGCTATTTTTATTAGATAGAAAGTGCTTTAATTTTTAATCTTTTCTTGTATAAATTAGGCCTATTTCCCATTTTTCTATTTTCAGAGAGTAGAAAACTATGCAGTACCATTTGTATGGTAATGCTATACTACTCTCCTTTTAGCCAAATGACAGTTTTATAAAATGTTGGCATTGTCAAGTCCTTCATAACTACAAAAATTGCCCTTGTGGAAGTTTCCTTTTTATAAGATATAGTTTATTTTTATCTGAAGAAATATATTTTTATAGAAAATTTGTAAAATGTAGAAGTACTGAAGAAATGATGTCATCCATAGTTCTGCTTCTCACCTTTAATATTTTGGTGTGCAAATCTATTTTTTCCTCTTTTTTATTTGTATATATACTTGACCATTCATAATTAAAACCATAAAGTATATACCAACATATATTTATGTGTATCTATGTGGTCACCTATATAAAAACAAGTTTAGACTGATGAAAGATGTTATAAAGAGGGGACTGGTGACAGACAGTATTTGCCGCTAGTGCCGATAACAATGAAAATATGTTCGAGTACAAGTAACAAACTACTTGACTGAAAGTAGCTGAAACAATGAAGATAAACATCACACAAAATAGAAATCTGAATGTAGTTCCTTCAAGAAGTTGTTTAGTAGCATAATGATATCATCAAGGCCCAGACACTTTGCATCCTTCTTCCACCCAACCTCAGTGTTATTGCCTCAAGGTTACAAGAAAGCTCCAGTAACTCTAAGTGATGCTGATCACATGAAAACATCAAATACAGAAGGGAAGCAAAAAAGTTTCTCCTTGTCTCTCTTTCACAAAGGGAGGAAACTTTAGGAAGCTCTCCCCGAAGACTTCCTCCATCTCATGGGCCAGAGAGTAATTCACGTGGCCACCCCTAAAGGAAACTGGGCTATGAGTACATAGCATTAGGAAAAAATATCTGAGAAATGCACCCAGTGCATCGTTTATGATTTGTCATTGTGCTGCTGTTTACCTACTCAGAATTTACAATTGGACTGAAGGTTAAAATGAATGGGTCCTTATGCAATTTCCAGTGTCTAGAATACATTTGGTATAAGTCTATTGCTTGGAAATAGGATCTTCTCTGACCTCTATTTCTTGGTCCTTTGATCGTCTGAACAGGTGCCATGTGTAAAAACTACAAATGCCCAGGTCTCTTTATTCCTACCCCTCTCACGGTTGTCTTCTGATTAATAGTGGAAAGAGAACACCTGCTGGGATGGAGCAGGGAGAAGGAGACAGCAACACTTGGGCTGCACCCTGCATCGGGATCCGTGCAGTAGGATGGACTCCAAACTAGGATCAGAACATATTGGGGCTGGGAGATGGCCAATAAATAACACTCTTTCATTGTCTGAGTTCTGAACCACGTGGCACATAAGAATAGGAGGGGTACTGATGGTGAAACAAAAGGTCACCTCTATTACTGATAAGGTTAGGTTGGAGGACGCTACTTAATGCAAGTGCCAGAATGGGCTTATGAACTCCATGGAGCAAGCAGGTGGACTATCAGCCATCCTCGGAGAGAGGGAAGGAGAATGACCACATTTCTTTCACTCAAGACTGTGTTAAATTAGCTCCACCCACTAAGAAACATGAACAAGTGGCTGTTGCCCATCCACCACTTCATCTCCAAGTGGTGGTCTAAAATATGGGGCAAGAGGCTAGCCCAAAGCCCTTCTTATGGAGGTGAGACAAGTGAGAAAATGACATTTTCTTTCCTATGTATGTATCCTATGCTTTTGAACCAGGGACAGGCAGGTTTGTCACTCAGATGAGCCATGGAGCTGCATTTCTATCTGGCTTTATCAGTGAAAGGAAATTCTTCCCAGTTTCTGATCACAGGTAAACTGCTAGTTGTAGCAAGGAGCATTAGCTAGACATTATTCAATCTAGATCCTAATTGTAAAGTTAAACTGCAAACGAGTACAGTCTCCAAATCTGGGAAAGAATAATTTTACCATGCTATGAAGTACGACTGAAGAAGAAAATAATCATATTGGACAAGAAAAATCTAAACTGAAAACTTGGGTTATTTTCATATATCTGAAAGACTGCCAAGCACAATAGTAATGCCAGCTTCCACTTACTAGTAATGTACTACACCTCAGACACTGCAGTATGCAATTTATATACTTTACTTCATCTAATTTTCACAAGAACCTTATAAGGCAAGTGCTACGATTTCAATTTTATAGTTGAAAATCCTGATTCTCTGAGAGGTAGACTTGCCTGAGATCTGTGGCAAGTGAAAAGACTTTTTAACTCAAGTCAGGTTGACCCCAAAGCTGAGGTTTGTAAACATGTACCAAACTGCAGAAAAGGGATCAAACGTTTTGTGTGAGGTTCTTGAAGCAACATTTGGCTCAGTGGGTGGGAGATAGATTTCAGCTTAATATGAGAAAAAACTTCTATCTCAATTACAGGTACTCAAAATAGTCTAGGCTGTCTCAGGAAATTGTGAGTTCCCCAACACCTGAAGAATTCAAGTAGCTTGTGGAGGATTAACTCTGGAAAGGATGTCTACATCATGTGGGAAGTGTTATCATATTAACTCTGAGATGCCTTTCAGGTCTAATTTCTATGATTATGTAATACCTCTTCTACTGCTTGGAGGTGA